GTGGTGGACCCTAGGGGAGATCACACCGATTCCGAGACACCCAAGTCTTCGATGATAGACGATGTTTCCAATCTGGCCGCGTTTCCATGATCTCGGCCAGACCATTTAGAATTGATTCAGGACGCAAAACTACGACCTGGGAAAGGGTCGGGAGCTCTGGGGGCGCGGATTGAAACATCAGATCGCAGGATGTTTTGGTATATTGCAAGGGGGAGCAGGGTGAAGGAAGGGATGAGGTAGGGAGGATGGGCGATGCTACTGTGGCGTCCAACTCCCCCATTCCGCTCGAGTGTCTGTGAACAGAGTATGCTTCACTTCCCCTGCTGCCCTTGCATATCTCTCATATACATATATATATACATATGTGTATATATGATCATAAATACGGCAGATCGCCTGACACACGCAACATCTTTGCATGGGTTTGGGCTGCAAAACATCACGCTACGGAGCCGCTGCTGAAATTGCATGAGTCCTTGTCTAATTCGGACTGCCACACGCGGAAGATGCCCTTGGCGTCCGCCGTGATGATGGGACCGTTGTCGTAGGGCCCGTGCGAGAGGAGGACTGGAGAGCATCGCATTTACCTCGTAAGGTGACGCAGCGGGGGAGGCAACGATGAAGACGAGATACGGATACGAAGAGGAAGAGAGAAAGGGAGAGGTATCGCGAGGAGTGAAGAGGCATGACGGAAAGGGACGGGGAAGAGGTAGAAGAAAGGTTGCAGCTGGAAATGGGCTTAGAAGAAGAGGACGAGGCAGGCGGGGGCCTGTGACGATGGGGAGCCGAAGGGGGGAAGGGAGAGGAGAGGAGAGGGGAGAGGGGGGGAACAGAGGGGAGGGGCGGGGAAGACGAAGGGACAGGGAAAAGGGGGCGGGACGGGAAATGACAAGCATCATGACGAGCACGAGGACAGCGACGATGCACAGACAGAGGGCGCCGGCGCTGCTGACCGTGCTGCGGGGGGCGGCAGTGGCGCCTAGCGTCGATCGAGCGGAGGTGGTGCCCAGCGTCGATGAACCGCCGCGCCGGGATCAGGGCGTGCGAAAAGGATGCATACGCAGCGGCAGTGGTTGGCGGCGCGCACAAGGGGGTGGAGGGAGGGGGGAGGGCTTCTTAGGAGGAGGCTGCTTCTTAGAGGGCGGCGGCCTCACATCTATAGAGGAGGCCCGCGCCTTCGAAGAGGCAGGGGTGCTTCTAAGAAGCCCTCCCCCTCCCCCTGCCCCCCCCCTGCGCGTGGCTGAAGTGGGCGCGCAGCGGGAGGCGGAGCTCTGGAGCCCCAACGTCCATCGGCCGCAGTGGTGGGCCCAGCGCCCTTTCGAGCGCAACGGCCCGTGGGCACTGTGCGAGCGCATGGCGCGCGCACGGCGCGCGCGCGGGCCGTGAGCCGAGGCGGCCTCTGGCGTGCGCACGCGCCGCTGGCAGCTCCAGAAGACATCTTTGCTTCGCCAGGCGGCGAGCGAGGGGCCTCCCGTCCTACCCTTGCCCCCTGGCCTTCGGGCCGGCCCTCCCTTGAGCAGGGGCCGACCGTCCCGGCATCTCTATAGTCCTACCACGACATGTTCTTAGAGCCCCAAAATGTTCTAAGGGCAAAAACAATGTTCTTAGAACATAGGCCCGATGTGATAAAACAAGACAGCCCCCGCCAGACATCTTCTAAGAGCATGTCGTGGAAACCACAAATTTAAAGGTTATTAGAACATTGTTTGGTATTGGTAGGGCTATAGGCACGCCAGGACGCTTCGCCACTGCTTGCCTCCCGCGGCCCTCCAGGGCGAGCCCGGCACCCCGGAGCACTCTCCGCGAGGCGCAGCTGCTGGAACGCACCCCGAGCCCGGAAAAGCGCCGGGGACCGACGAGACCGAGACTGCCCAGAAACCTCGAGCCTCGAACCTCGGCGGCACCGACACGCGAGTGGAGGAGCAAGCGGCTTTGCGTGCCAGGAGTGGACGAGCGAGTGAGAGGACGGCGAGGTTCCACTTCCAGAAGGTACGGTCGATCACTTTTGCTCAGCGTGTCGCGGCAGCGGCCCCGCGCCGTCCCGCGTGCGCGCACGCTCCGGGCCACCGAGGCCGCCGCAGCGTGGCGTGGGGGCGCCGCGCGCCCGAGCCGCCCCCGGGCCGCCGCCCCACTCGCGGGCGGCGGCCGCGCCGCGGCTGCAGGCCGGGGAGGACCAGTGTAAACCCAGGGCACATCAACGATGTTGCAGTCAACTCTCCCTCCACGCCTCCTCTTCATAGCTCCTACAAGAACTGGTTCTTGTTCTCATTGCAGGTAGCGCCCCAGTGAAGACAGGCGTCGGAGATTCCTCAGTCGTGCCAGAAGCACCGTTCCTGTGACTTCAACGCCGCGGAGCAACGTGACTGCTGCGTGCTGTCAAGCCTGAATCGGGTCTTCGACCATACGAATTTTGGAGCTGTTCCACGCTACATTTTCAAAAGTTACCGCCGTCCATCCTTGAACCTGCCGAAACATGAAGACGACTGCGCGCGGCGCTAAGGCGAGAGCGACATATTGAAAACCACCCGCCCTTCATCCGTGGAACTGTTGCAATTTCTTCAGACGAATCTGCGCGGCGCTCCAACGAAAACCACATTTTGAAGAGGACCTGCCCTCCACCTGTGATACAGCTGAAAACTGTCAAGACGTGTGCGCGCGGCACTGTCACATTTTGAAAACCACCCGCCCTCCATCCGTGAAACCGTTGCAAACTTTGAAGACGACTGTGTGCGGCGCTACGGCAATAGCCACATTTTGAAAGCCCGCCCTCCACCCTCCGAAGTCTCAGCCAATGGATCATGAACAGCGAGGAAGTTTCAGACGAAACGCCCGCCCCGCCCTGCGGACGCGCCAGGGGGTGCGATAAGGAGGAGGTATTCGTAAGGACAGGGACGGATGAGGAGGAGCCGAAGATCGCTAGATGGAAGCGATGAAGCCACCTGGGCCCCGAAGCCTCCCAAGGCTGAGTGTTGCAATGGTTTGCCCTGCTGTACACGAGACGTGGCCCACTCACCTATTTGGTTGGTCGGAAGCTCACAAGCGCAAGACATATCCTGTAACGGTTTCCCCGTCAGTAGCCTTAGCACGACGACCACATCTTGTGCACCACCAGAGGCTGAGGCGATCTGCGTGGTGCGTGATGTGGAAAGGGGTCAACAGACTTATTGCCTACCTGGACCGTGTGCCCCATGTTTTTAACGTTTCTGCAAAAGGACTTCACAACGCTGCTCTTGATAACTGGTAAACCTGCGTGTCTACTAATCTGTTCGTTACGTTTACGGCGCTGTCATCTACATCTTGTACTACAGAGGAGGTGCGGACTAGAAGCAAGTGCGGCACTCAACTCACTCGTAGCGTGCTTTCGCTCTCTCCTTTCTTCAGATCGTTCTGCAACCATGGTCTGGCTGTCTCTCTCGATTGTGTCGATGCTGGCACGGGTGACCCTGCGCCAGACCAGCGCCTGCACGGCTCTTACCCGGTTGTAGCAGTCCAGCTGGATCGAAGGGATGTCGTGTTTGGCGACAGCAACGACAGCCAGCTGGTCGGCCAGCAAATTACCCAACCACGCCTCCTGGCAGGCACCTATGGATATCGCCTCCTCCGCATTCATGTGACTCGTGATGTGACGCAGCTGCACCATTTCGGCTGCATTCGACAAGTTGGGTGGAACGTTCGACCTGCGCCTCTGCGATCTTGCCCCACATATCTGTATTGTTCCGTCGCTGTCTGGGTCGCAGGTGGTGTCCTCTCTGCCAGCCTCGACACAGTGAACTCGGAGCGCATGGTAGATGGCCCACAGCTCCGCTCGGTTGCTCGTCTGTCGTCGCCCAAGTAGTGGTCACTGGGCTGCTCTGATTTTCCATTCGGCAGGTCGGTGTAGGATAACCCAGCCTCAACCGCATCTACGACAATGCCGGTCGCTAGACTGAGCTCCACCGATGCCGCCAGTATAGACAGTGGTGTGGGCGCCCTCGGTTCAGATTCGGTCGGTATGTTCCAATTCGCCCATGTTCGTCGGGCTGCTCTCAGTGCTGCAATCTGGTGGGTTAGAGCATGCTTTAGGACAGAGTCCGTGGATCCAGAAGCAAGGCGTACTCTGAACTCATTCTGCTTCCCGGTCCCGAGGAGCGTCGCTGACCGTGTAGTCCTTGTGCTCTGGTCTATGTGGGCATCTCCCCCAGCTGCGATGATGATCGTCCGCAGCTTCTCCACATGAGCATTTATCGTCATAGTTTTCTCCACAGCAAGCTCTCCTTCTGGCAGGTGACCACAAAGCTGCGAATGCTGCAGCCTGAAGTGTTCCCACTTCGTGATGCTTGCCCTATGCCGAGCCGAGCCCTCCCGTAGTGGCTACTGCTGGCTGTCCAAAATTACGTTAATCACATCGGTAGGATCCTGTATGTGCTCGTTGGCGCCGTCGCCCATATGCCACTCGTTGCCCAGGTGGTCCATCCAGAGCATGGGGGGGAGCGGGTCCCACTTCCCAGAGCGCAAGGATGAGGCTGCCAATGCTGCATCTCCCCTGCTTCTAACGATCCTGGGGGGGCTTGGCGGCGAGCCAGCTGCAGATGGTCGTGTGGATCTGGCCGATGGCACTACGTGTCGAATCATGTCGTGAGCTCACCTCGCAAGATGCCAACTGCGGGGTCCGCCTGCTCTGAGTCGAGGTAGGTCTGCAGGCAACGTCCCGACCAATGCTTGCCCATACCCAAGAGGAGGACGAGAAGGAGGAGGAGGAGGAGGAAGAGGACGCTCCTGGGGGGGAGGGATGGGTGCGTTCGAACCGCACTCCGAAGCCGACAGCGACAGCGACAGGATGGGGAGAAGGAGGAACGGAACGAAGGGGGAGAGCCAGGAGGACGAGGAGGAGCCAGGAGGACGAGGAGGAGGAGGCGGAGGAGGAGGAGGGGAAAGAGGAGGGAGATAATAATGAAGAGGACGCATGGGAGAAGAAGGGATGGGAAAGAAGAAGGTCCGACGGACGCAGCGAAATCCGGCTCCTATGGGCGAGTCGTGCGCCACCTGGGCGCTGCGGCACCTCACGGGGGCGGCAGCGACCGCGGGCCCACGCGCGCTTGGAACGGCCCGAGAGCCCGGCCCCCAAGCGCCCGAGCGTGATCCGAAGGAACAAGAAGCCACATATGAAGGGCCCCAGGACACACAAATAAATACACACAAATAAAACTATTCCACATGTTTTCCAATAGTTTCTGGGCTTTCGTATTCCCCCCCACTTCCCATATTTTCCCATAATTTTCTGGGGAATCTGCGATTACTTGCGTCTGTGTGTTTCTTTCCCTCCTGAACATAGGCACACGGTCGCCCCAACTTTTGCCTGGCGCGTCGCGGCGGGTGGCCCCGGGGACACGCAGTGCCCCGCGAGCGGAGGGCGCGTCGCTCCTCGCCCTGCTCCGCGCGGCGGGGGGCCTCGGAAGGCTCGGGACGTTCAACGTTCACGCCCGGGAGCCAGGGGCGTGGCCGACGCGCCGCGCCGAAGCGCGGTGGGCCAGAAGCGGCGGAGCCACACGCTAAGAGCAGACAGCCCCGACCGTAGGCCTTTCTGGAGGTCCCGCGGCTTCCTTGGGCCGCACTCAACCGCCCCCCCCCCCCCCCCCGTGGGCGCGCGGAGAGCGCGCCCAGGGGCGGCGCCGGAGGCGCCCGCGAGGCGGGCCCAGCGCCGGCCCGAGAAAGCCGCGCGGACGTGCACTTTTTCCGTCGCGGCGCGTCAGAGGCAATCTGCTCGCGCGCTCTAGTCCCAGACCCCCGACGTCATGATTTTTTCATGCCGTCGACCCCCCGAGGTCTCGACCCATTCCCCGGGACCGGTTTTTCGTCCCGAGTCGTTTTTGGACGGTCCCGAGGGCCGGTAAGGGCCCCCAAAGGCCAAAAATAACGAAAAACCTCCCGTCGTGGTTTTTTCATAACTCGAGGGGGTCTGGGGTGGGAGGGGCGAAGCACACCAAGGGTCCGGAAGCACTGGGCAGAGGGCGGCCGCGGAGCAAGGGCGAAACGGGGGAGGGGGCACTCACAGCACGCAGGTCTCGGGCGTGGGCGGCCCGTGCGGACGTCCACAAGCTTAGTGCCTTTGCCGCTCCTTGTTCCTCGTGGTTCGACCGGCCCGATTTGAAGGGGCCCTGGGACACACAAATAAACATTCAAAAAACAGGATTCCCATATTTTCTTATATTTTCTGGGTTCTTGTCTTACCCCCCACTTCTTTGGTAGAAACATGAAGCAGGAAGGCGTGAGAAGTAGACTGGACTTCCGCCCGCCTCCTGAGGAGGAGAAAGGAAGGAAAACCGCTCGACCCTTGAAGTAGGAAGGTGCCTCAGGTAGGTTGGGATCTGGGCACCCAAAACTACAAAAACACCTACTTTCAACGACCGGCGGGTATGAAGGGGCCCTGGGACACACAAATAAATACACACAAATAAAAATACGCCCCACATTTTCCCATATTTGCTCTGGGTTCCTGTCTCCCCCCTCCCCACGTCCCATATTTTCCCCTATTTTCTGGCGAATCGACGATTCATTGTGTCTGTGTGTTTTTTCCCTCCTGACGATCTGCCGCGCGGGGCGGATCGGGGCGGGGCCCACCGCGGCTCGACGAGAGGCGGCCCCGCCGCCCCGAAGCTGCCCCGCCGCCCCGAGCGGCCGCTGGCTCGCTGAGCCTTCCCGGTCCCCCGCCTTGACGCGGGGCGCCCCGCAGCTCGGCCGGGCCTCCTCCTCCTCCGCCTCCTCCTCCTCCTCCTCCTCCTCCTCCGCCTCCGCCTCCGCCTCCTCCTCCTCCTCCTCCTCCTTGTCCTCCTCCTCCTCCTCCTCCGCCTCCGCCTCCGCCTCCTCCTCCTCCTCCTCCTCCTCCTCCTCCTCCTCCTCCTCCTCCTCCTCCTCCTCCCCCTCCTCCTCCTCAGCTGTACCGCACCGGGCCCGCTCGACCGGCGGGTCGGCGAGACCGCGGGTCGAAGGCCAGCCCTGCCGGTCCCAGCCCGATCGGCGGAGCCCCGGGGTCGGAGCCCGGTCCTCATCCGGCCGGCCCTGCCCGATCCGCCGCGTGGGGCGGGGCACTCCGTCGCGTGTCGAGGGTCAGACTTTTCCCCCACAGCCTAAGTGGGGCTCCTGTTTTCTCTCGACACCCCGTGCAGTTCTCCTCCTCCTCCTCCTCCTCCTCCTCCTCCTCCCTCTGCCTCTCCTCCTCGTCTCCATTCACAGTCATCACCATCACCATCACCATCACCATCACCATCACCATCACCATCACCATCACCATCACCATCACCATCACCATCACCATCACCATCATCATGGCCACTAGCATCTCATCACCGTCACCATCACCGTCACCATCGTCACAATTACCATCCCGTCATCATCGCCAGAACTCTATTCCCAGTCCTGACTGATTCACTTGAGAGCAAGTCTCAGGCGGGAGTCCTCTCCGTATGGGCCCCCCGCTTCATGTTAGCAGTCCGAAGCGGCCATCCAGAAACCAAAGAAATGTCCAGGCAGTTGTAAATGCGTGTTGTACCACAACTTTCGGTGGAGCTCCCTATGGGGCCACGAACCCTGTGAAGAGTGCGCCAACATGGGGCGGCGCCGCCATGCAGACCCTGCCACTGGGGCCTTCGGCTGACATCCCTATGGGGCCACGCCGTATGAGGGGTGCGCCAACATGGAGCGGTGCCGCCATGTGAACCCTGCCACTGTGGCCTTGGGTGGAGCTCCCGATTGGGGCCACGAGCCGAGTGAGGGGTGCGCACAAATTAGGCAGGGCCGCCAGCCAGGACGACCAGCCACTGGGGCCTTCGATGGGGCTCCCTATAGGGCCACAAACCGTGTGAAGGGTGCGCCAAAATGGGGCGCCGCCGCCACGTGGACCGTGCCACGGGGGCTTCGGCTGAGATCCCTATGCGGCCACGAAACGTGTGGAAGGTGCGCCAAAATGGGGCGGCGCCGCCATGTGGACCCTGCCACTTAGGCCTTCGGCTGAGCTCCCTACAGGGCCACGAACTGTGTGAGGGATGCGCCAAACTGGGGCAACGCTGCCATGTAAACCCTGCCACTGGGGCCTTCGATGGGATTCCCTATGGGGCCACGAACCGTATGAAGGGTGCGCCAAAATGGGCGGCGCCGCCATGTGGACACTGCCACTGCGGCCTTCGGCCGAGCGCCAAAATATGGCGGTGCCGCCATGTGGACACTGCCACTGGGGCCTTCGGTGCAGCTCCCTATGGGGCCACGAACCGTGGGGCGGCGCCGCCATGTGGCCGCCATATGGACCCTGCTACTGGGGCCTTCGGCTGAAATCCATCTGGGGGCGCGAACCGTGTGAGGGGTGCGCCAACATGGAGCGGTGCCGCCATGTGAACCCTGCCACTGTGGCCTTGGGTGGAGCTCCCGATTGGGGCCACGAGCCGAATGAGGGGTACGCCAAAATGTGGCGGCGCCGCAACTTGGACAATGCCACCGCTGCCATCGACTGAGAATCCTATGGGGCCATAAACCGTGTGAAAGGTGCGCCAACATGGGGCGGCGCCGCCATGTGGACCATGCCACTGGGGCCTGCGGCTGAGCTCCAGATTGGGGCCACGGACCGCGTGAGGGGTGCGCCAAACCCTGCTATTGGGGCCTTCGGTGGAGCTCCCGATGGGGCCACGAACCGTTTGAGGAATGCGCCCAAATCGGGCGGCGCCGCCATGTGGACCCTGCCGCTGGGTCCTTCGGTGGAGCGCCCTACGGGCCGCGAAACGCTGCATTGGGTGTGCTTCTTTTGAGCTCATCACTCCACAACCAACGAAACAGTGCGAGCAGCGGCGGCTGGAACCACCAGAGGCTGCGCCCAAAGGGGCGCAGAACGAACTGGGTAAAGCGGCGCCGGCGCCACTTACCACACGTGCTAGCTGGCCCCAAGAGGGAAGCACAGCTGCCAAAGACCTGTGGCAAACACCAGACGAGATTCGCCGATGAAGGAAACAGGCTGAAGTCAGACACCTGAGGCACACAGCAGGCGCGATTAGCCACTGAATGACACAGACCAAGACAAGGAGAACATTCAGCCCGAGTCATCATCACAGTCGACTCTGCCAGCAACAGGGACAGGGAGCCTCGACTCGTTCTCCACACGACGGGCTCCAACGACGCCAGCAGCCTGCCTCGACGAAGCAGCACTGGCCGAACGCGAAGCGACAGACCGAGCCACGACGTGTCGATGGCCAAACAGCTCACAGGCAGCGCCAACGTCCACGGTCGCGTGGCGCCTGCGGGGGTTAGGCCGAATCCCTTTACACAACCAGCGCCAATGTTGCTCAGCCTTCCCGGTGGGATGTCCATCGCATCCCCTGCCCAGCCCACCATTGCGCGCACCAGTGCTATGCAACCTGCACTTGCTGCAGACAAAAACGTGACTCCGATCATCACCACGAAAAGCAATGACGTTGTGACCCAGCTCGCACAGCACCCCCTCGTCAAGCTTGCACAGCGGCCTGGAGCAGCTCCTCCAGCTGCCGACAGCCTACCAAACAGACTCTGCACCTCCACAAACCTGACCAAACTTGCCAGTCGTGATGGCTGTCGAAGGAAAGCGACGGCAAAGCAGTAGAAACCTTAGGGCGAGTGAGAGCTCCAGGCGGGGCCATTCTAGCAACAGTTTAGCCGCGAGCATGCGCGCCGTGCGGGAAGTCGCTGCAAGCCGGTCAAGCTCGACCAGCAGCGCACTGTCTGAGTGATGCAAATGAATAGCATGCTGCGCCGCAATGTCGGCATCATTGCTACACTTACGGTATAATCGATCCTGCTCGTCAATGCCTTCCTGGTGAAGGTCCTTGTGGGTAGCGGCTCTGCCCGCATCAGAAACAGCATTGCCTTTGCGAGCGTTCGCTTCCATGATGAGTCCACTGTAGACTCTCTTACCCGAGAGACGCTCAGGAAAGGGAAGCCTGGAATGCGAAACAACATTGCTACAATCAGAAAAGATAGTCGAGGGGTGCTTGGCTAAAAGACCAATTCTGCCCCTCGCTAGAAATTCACCCGCCCGGGGAGCCT